GTTTCGACATCCGGCAGATTCACCACAGTGGATGAAAATTGATAATGATTATCCTGAATTTGGAAAAGACGCAAGAAACCTTCGCTTGGCATTGTCTACTGATGGAATGAACCCACACGGTATTCAAAGTATCTCGCATAGCACATGGCCTGTAATTCTTATGATTTATAACCTACCTCTGTGGCTATGTATGAAGCGTAAGTACATGATGTTATCTATGTTAATTTCTGGGCCTAAACAACCAGGAAATGACATAGACGTATATTTGGAACCTTTAATCGAAGATTTGAAGATTTTGTGGGAGAACGGTGTGGAGGTTTATGATGGGTATAGGAAAGAAAGTTTCAACTTGAGGGCGGTGTTGTTTGGAACAATTAACGATTTTCCAGCCTACGGAAATCTATCCGGGTATAGCATTAAAGGTGAAAAAGCGTGTCCTATCTGTGAAGATAGAACCGATACGATGCGATTGAAACTTTGTCAGAAGAATGTCTTTCTCGGTCATCGTAGATTCTTAAATTCTAAACACCAATATCGTGGATGGAGAAAAGCGTTCAACGGAGATACCGAACAACGTAGAGCTCCGCCTGGATTGACAGGTGCTCAATTATTTGAAAAGGTGAAAGATGTGAGTATTCAGTTTGGCAAGCCTTTTGCACATAAAGTTGTTACAGGTGGGTGGAAGAAGAGGTCGATTTTTTTTGAATTGCCATATTGGAAATCTTTGTACGTAAGACATTTTCTTGATGTTATGCATATTGAAAAAAATGTATTTGACAGTGTTATTGGTACGTTACTCAATATAAAAGGGAAGTCTAAGGATGGTCTTAAAGCAAGGGAGGACATGGTAGAGATGGGAATAAGAACTGAATTGGGACCCGTGAAAAAAGGAACACGAACATATCTACCACCTGCTGTTTACACTCTATCCAGAAAGGAGAAAAAAATATTGTGTAAGTTCCTAAGTGAGGTTAAAGTTCCAGAAGGCTACTCATCAGATATTAGAAGACTTGTGTCTATGCAAGACCTCAAGTTAAAGAGTTTAAAGACGCATGATTGCCATGTTATAATGGAACATTTTCTACCGATAGGTATACGTTCTATTCTTCCAGAAAAAGTAAGAAGCGCAATAACTAAACTGTGTTTTTTCTTCAAGTCAATTTGCAGCAAGGTGATCGATCCTGAGATCTTACCAACATTGCAAAAAGAAATAGTTGTTACTTTGTGTGATCTTGAAATGTATTTCCCTCCCTCGTTTTTTGACATAATGGTTCATCTTGTCGTTCATCTTGTCAAAGAGACACAACTGTGCGGACCAGCTTATATGAGATGGATGTACCCTACTGAACGTTATATGAAAATATTAAAAGGGTATGTGAAAAACCGAAGTCGACCAGAGGGTTGTATTGCTGAACGATATATTGTTGAAGAAGCGATTGAGTTTTGTACTGAATATCTGTCAAATGTTCAATCAATTGGACTCCCCAAATCTCACATTGTTGAAAAAAAGAAGGTAAGAAGCTAATTAGAAATAAAGTTGTGACAGTATCAATGGTCGAACGGGATCAAGTGCATTTGTATGTTCTGCATAATGAGCTTGAAGTTGAGCTGTATGTTGAAATTCACAAGGGTGTTCTTCGAGGTTTAAATCCGAATAAATATGAGAATTGGATTGTACGAGAGCATAATCGAAGTTTCATACCATGGTTTAAGGAACATATTTATTCAAAGTATCGTTCAGATCATGCTTCAGTAACAGAAAGATTGAGATGTTTAGCATACGGTCCAAGTTTAGTTGTGTTTTCTTATAGCGCATATGCAATTAATGGATACACATTTTATACCAAAGAACAGGATGACAAAAGTACTATGCAAAATAATGGTGTCATCTTGATCGCTGAAGCAATGCATATATCAAGTGTGAAGGACTTAAACCCAAAATTTGCAAACCTGTCATATTTTGGGGTTATCGAGCGCATTTGGATGTTTGATTACGAGAAGTTTCAGATTCCTATATTTGGTTGCAAGTGGGTTGAAAATAATAATGGCATACGAATGGATAAGTCAGGTTTTTTGCAAGTGGATCTTAATAGGGTGGGGTACAAAGATGAGCCTTTCATTCTAGCCTCTCAAGCTAAACAAGTGTTCTATGTCAATGATCCGACAAGTACGAAATGGTCTATAGTGCTATTATCTAACAAAGTAATTGATGAAAGCATTGGAAATCAAAGTGATATTGGTGTTGACATTGAATCTTTAACCATAACTGATCAAAATGATAATGAATCATGTATTAGAAACGATCATAATGAGGGTATTTGGATCAATCCAACTGTCCGCGTTGTTAAGAGACGAGTATAACACATTCCTACCAAGAAAAGAAAGAGACCTTAGTGAAAACGGTAATAGTATATATAATTATAGCCTATATCATTCAATAAAATTTAATTTGTCATTTCATTTTTATTTGTCACTTCATTTTTATTTGTCATTTCATTTTTATATTTGTCATTTCATTTTAATTTGCCATTTCATTTTTATTTGTCATTTCATTTTTATATTTGTCATTTCATTTTTATTTGCCATTTCATTTATATTTGTCATTTCATTTTAATTTTCCATTTCATTTTTATTTGTCATTTCATTTTTACATTTGTCATTTGATTTTTATTTGCCATTTCATTTATATTTGTCATTTCATTTTAATTTGCCATTTCATTTTTATTTGTCATTTCATTTTTATATTTGTCATTTCATTTTTATTTGCCATTTCATTTTTATTTTTTTTCATTATTACAGGTCAAATGGCTAGTAATAAAGAAAACTCAAAAGATGCAAATGCTCCTGAAAATGCTCCTGAAAGTACTCCAGAAAATACTTCAGAAAAAGATATTACACGAGGTATAACTATTATGAGGGGAATCATCCGTGATAGAGATAGAGGAGTAACATATAATGTAGAATGGAATGATAATGACCAATTAATTGGGTCTAATGCTGCAAAGTTGACAAGCTACATTGGTACGCTTGTTCGTATACACATTTCGATCACCACTCCTAGATGGAAAAGAGGAGAAGCTCGGGTACGACGGTCTAAATCAAACAACATTAATTGGATCAAAGTGCAGGTATATTAATTTCCACTATTTTGCTTATAATATTTACGTTATTTGATAAAACAATACAACTATATATTCTTATTTGTTTTTCTATGTAGTATCCTCAACAGTAAAACGGTATAGATTGCGGATACTTCGTTATGCGATTTATCAAAGAAATCATTCAACTGAATCAAATAGAGATTCCAGTCACGATATGAATTTATAACTTAGGATTTGTTTTATTATTTCTCGGATATTTCATATAATTTTTTACTTTTAACTAAATCATGCATATTATGTTTTGTTATGTAGTACTTCGATGAGTACAAATGTGCATATTACACGAAACTTCAGTTGGAAGAAATCAAAGAGGAGTTGTGTCAATATTTTATTGAGCAGAGAATCATATAAGGACTGGTTTAGTTGTTGTTAGGGTTGATTTTGTAAGACTGATTTTGAGTTACAATACTGATAACAATGGTTTATATATAATTTGAGATACAAAAATGGTGTATATATATTTTGGATTACAATGCATTACCGCTATTTATGAATTACAGGTTATGGCAACTGGTTTATATAAATAATATGCTGCAAACAATGCAGGTATATGAATTATATAAATTATACCTCTAAAAAAAAACACCCTATGAAAGCGCTTTTTAGAGAAAAGCGCTTTCATAGGTAGACCTATGACAGCACTTTTTCACATAAAGCGCTGTCTAAGGTAAACATATGACAGCGCTTTTCCAAGAAAAAGCGCTGCTAAAAGACAACCTATGAAAGCTTTTTTCCAAAAAAAGCGCCACCAATGAAAGCACTTTTTCATAAAAAAGCGCTGCCAAAAGCCTACTTAAGAGAGCGCTTTTTAGAAAAAGCGCTGCCATAAGGGTACTTAAGAGAGCGCTTTTTAGAAAAAGCGCTGCCATAAGGGTACTTAAGAGAGCGCTTTTTAGAAAAAGCGCTGTCATAAGTAGACCTACGAAAGCGCTTTTCATTAAACAAAAAGCGCTGCTAAAACCTATAGCAGCGCCACCTTAGAAAGCGCTTTTAAGCACTTTTAAAGGCAAAAAAAAAGCGCTTTCGTAGATCTTTTTTGGCGTAGTGAGAGTATATTTGTTGTAGTGAAAATCCAAAAGTATACTTCCGCAAAATCTTTTGTGTTTTTGCATATTATTGTTGTATTAGGTCTGTATGGGCTTGTGTTTAAAGTGTAGTTGGTGATTGTTAGAGGCAAGCTTCCTTGTGGTGATGTGTTGAGAGGTTGATGAATAAGCTTGATTTACTGAATTTATACCTATTGTGTTAAATTTAGTTTATAACACTGATCTGCAGATTACCAAGAATTTGGAGTTCTTCCTCATGGTTTTCCACTCATTCTTTCGATATGGATCAGTTGACATTCGTATCGGAAAGAATCATTTTAATTTATAACTTAGTGGTTACAAAAATACACTTTCAAATTTCCTCAGAAGTGCATTTTCAAACTCTTATTTTTTGACAAAACAGTTCATTTTCACATAATTTTTTAGTATTTTAATGTGTCTGAAATACATTTCTAAAAATAAATAATAATTTTGTATTTTCACGTAGTGCACTTATATGGAATTCAACAAGAAATTGTCTTTTTATTGGATATCTAACCTGCCAGGAACAAGGAAACCATTCAATTCATTTTCATTTACTTTGTAGTATAGTGTACGTTCAAAATAAGTAAATAAAAATAAATAAATAAATAAATAAATAAATAAATAAAACTGGTGGGTAGAGTGCTCCTTTGACTTTGCTAGAGTTCGCGTCTAACTAGAACGAAAGAAAGAAGAAATAACAAAAAGTAGAGTTAGAAAACCCAAGATCCCAATTAATAAAATTAAAAAAAAAACAGTAAACAAAGCAGACATGGAATCGGAAACTTCAGATTATCCTTACGCAACCACCGAAGATCATCACCACATCCCAATCGATATCTTCGGTTCCAAAAAACACGCCGGACTTCCACGTGGCATCCTATCCTTCACCGATGCTTCCGGTAACATAATGTTCAAGGTGCACCGCCAACCACCCAATCCCAATTTCATCTCCTCTCCTCCTCCCAAGGATATCAAACTCTTGCTCGATCCCAACGATACTCCTCTCTTCTCCATCCACCGCCATCACGTTAGTCTCTCTTTTTCCTTATCCAAAAAATCATTAAAAAATATATTAATTTTTTTTTTTAATATTTCTTTTAGAATGGGAATTGGAAATGTTATAAGGGAAATGGCGACGGAGAAAAGGAGCTTATGTTTGAAGTGAAAAGGACTGTGAAAACTTTTACTAGAATTGAATTGGAGGTGATTTTTGCTGGTGAGAGATTAAACGACGACGTTTGTGACTTGAGAGTTATAGGTTCTCCTTTCAAGAGATCTTGCAGCATCTATAAGGACACTGATTTGGTGGCACAGGTATACTAATAGTAACTCTTTTTTTTTCTTTCGGTATATTGAGAGTTACATTAGATTGGATTATGAAGATTAATTGTGGTTTATACTTGTTTGTTTGTTTGCAGAGTAGTCTTATGTATAAGCTTAATCAAATATATGTGAGTAGGGGTAAATTTCGTCTCACGATTTTTCCTGGGAGTATAGATCATGCTCTTATTGTGGCTTTGTTTGTAGTCTTTTTGAATGGAAGAAAATAGGATTGCAACATTTAATTGCAATGTCTTTAAATTGGTTGCTTGAGTTTGTAACTTAAAGGTGCAATGTACAAGAAAGATTTTGATTTGTGATATTTCTTATTCTCACACTCCCGCGAATTTAGATTGACGGAATAGAATAAAAACTCCGATCGGATTGATGGAATAGGATGAAGCGGAGATGTATGAAATAGAATGAAGTGGTGTTTTATTGTTTGATTCATTTAAAATCAAATAGATGGAGTTTACTACACATTTCTTCCACCTCCGAGTTTGGCTAATTCCGTCTTAAAAATTTCAAACAATAGAGTGGAATCTTCATTCCGCACCACTTCATTCCATTCCATTACATCTCACACCGTTCTGTTCAGTTCATTTTATAATGTCTAAACATAACCTAAGGATGGAAGTATGGAACACTGGTTCACTTGCTGACCAGCCACCTCTATCCAAACTCCTAGAGCCAACAATGGCAGAAGATGGTGGTGTTACTATTTACAACATCACCGTTACTCTGCAATAGCTTCATTTCACTTCTATTTTTTTCTTTTTAAGGTTATTATTATTATTGATGAAATGAAATAGCTTCATTTCACTTCTATTTTTTTCTTTTTAAAGTTACTATTATTATTGATGAAATGAAATAGCTTCATTTCACTTCTATTTTTGTTTTATAAAAAAACTTAGAAAGGATACTAAGAATATTATACTAATTCTTTTCTTCTTTTCATTTTAATTTTGTTGGCTTTAAAAAAATTAAGAAATGATGATAAGAATACCAATTTTTTGGTTTTGGTTTTATTTTGCCAAATCACGGACTAACATTTAAAATAGCTCAAATTTTGTGCACGTGTTCAACAACTTTTCGATCAACAACTCATATAAATGTGAAAAATGTTGAAATTTTAAAATAGATGACAAGTATAAGAGGGTGTTTGTTTTAGCGAATGAAATATGAAAATGCTTAAAAAAATAAATGTGTGACAACCTCTAATTAAGAGTTGTCAGAAGTTTTAAGATTGATGTAGGGTTGATAGATAGTTTATGTGGGACGGGAAGTTGTTGTGTGTATTTCTCTATTATATTTAGGTTAGTCCATCATGATATTGAGGTATTTATAATCTTCTGAATTTAGAGAATGAGTAGTCGATTCTCTAAAATTCAAATAATGTAGTTAAATCTCACAACCTTCTATGCAATATTTGTTTATCCAATACATGTTTCACGCACGATCACACACTAAAGACGACAATTTAGTAGGATACAAACCCGTAAAATGGGTACGAGTATGAGCACTCGCAACTATCCATTAAAATAAGTGGATATGGACACGGTTCGAGTACCTTAGTACCCACACCACCACATATTCGCACAATATATATATTTTTTTTAATTTTTATTATTATATACACGCACACATAGTTATCAATTTTATTAAATACATCACTATTAAACTTGTGTGTATTTTAATATAAGTGTTTGTTTATTTTTGAACCAACAATAATATCTTAGTTATTTTAAATGTTGTAAAAAACTTAAAATGACATGATGAATTATAATTTATCAAATTTTTTATTAGAAATGCGAGTAAAAGGGTATGGGTATGAGTATTTAGAAACCCATAAGATATAGGTGTGGGTACAAATGTTGATGTCCACGTGAGTACGAGCTTAAGTACGAGTGTTTTTTCAAATCACAGTGTAGCGGCAAAAAGTTGAGACTAAGTCATTAATTGACTTAACTCACAAAGTGAAAGTCGCCACCGCAGTTTATTGTTTCCAAAGGGAAATAAGAAAAGAGTGAATAAAACCCACAAAAGAATAGAGATCAAGATACTGGGGTTGATTATACAAAGGGAAGGTATTAACATCCTAAACATCTACGGTACTCCGCAAGAACCTCTTTGAAAATCTGTGTATCTGACTAAAAAATGTTGTTTGCAAAATGATTGGAGAGATGGGAAAATAATCTGTTTTTATTATTTTGATTCGAAAAGACTTCGAGAGCCATATGCCTACGTATCAACCAAGTGCAATGAAGAATCAAAATCATGTATTTCTTCTAAAAAAGAACAAAACTTTGTGTGTTGATTAATTTTAAATGAAGAGACAAATTATCATTTTTAGGAAGAAGACTCGCCTAATCGCCCACAAAATATGAGAAAGAGGGACAACGCACTAACATGAGGGAGGGTTTGGACACATCTCTAGTATTCAAGTGGAGATGTCGATATCTTTACAACCATGGGGATAGGAAAATGGCATCTCAACTATAAACAACGCATGTCTAATCTTGAAAAGTTTTAAAGGGAAAGGTGCACGAGGGAACAAAAAGGTTTGAATGAGGTTAAATGATTTTTAGTCTTTTTTAAAGTGTTTTGACATGTTTATGTAGTTTAGCATTTATTAAGAAAAGAAGAGGGAGTTTGAAAGGTCACTTAACAAGGTCGAGGTTTATTATGAAAGTGGTCAATGAAAACTATAAGGTTTTGAAAAAGATGAGAAGGTTTTGAAAATTGAAGAATGGGAGGAGATGAAGAGACTATCCTAAAATAAAAAGTAAAATTAAGGTAAAGAAGGTATGACCAAACTGGAAGTTGATACTTGACATAATAAATCACATATAATTCTCATCCTTTGGATTAAAGCCACAAGCAAAGAATAAACCAAGAATATATCGAGCAGCAGGTGAGAATAAACCACAGCAGATAAAGATAAATCACAAGCAGAATGTGTGTCAGATAAATCTAAGGTATCATATAAAGCTCAAAGCATTGGATAAGAACTTCAAGTATCGAATAAGAATTCCTGCATCAGATGAAATTCTGAACAAACAAACAAAACCAAGATAACAGAGAAATAGTATGAATATCTCATATGAAGTAAGAACTCAAGTCCAAATGGTCAAATACATCAAGGTTAAATGAACAAATAAGATGTGAAGTAGGTGTTTAATAAATTAATCAAGAATTGATAAAATTAATTAATTAAATTAAAAAAATTTAATTAACAAAACTAATTAATTTTTAATAATCAAATCAACTAACTAATATCAATATTTGATTAATTAACTAAAAGCTACCAAATATGCAAAGATAATATCAAATAACCAAATAGAAATTATTAACGAATAAATGATTAACACACAAAATAATTAATTAAATTAAATGAAAATATTTACTAAAACTAATTGATCAATATTAGTTAGAGTAAATAAAATTATTTAACAAAATTAATTAACAATTAAAACTAACAGAAGCGGATGAAGAAAGCATTTGATAAAAATGTATGTCCCCGAGTGTTCAAAGAAGGAGATCTGGTTCTCAAGAAGATTTTGATACCTCGTCTAGATTCACGTGGTAAATAGACACCTAACTATGAAGGTCCATATGTGGTTAAAGCAACATTCTCGAGCGGAGATCTTATCCTCACCACAATGGATGAGGAAGAACTACCACATTCGACGAACTCTGACGCAGTAAAAAAGTACTATGTATAAAAGTCTCGCTAAGTCGAAACTCCAAACGGACAAATTAGGAAAAAAAGGGGTGTCCCTGTGGATTGAAAATTCTAAAGGGAGATCCAGACAAAAATTAGGGACATATAAACAAAATCATCATCCCGGTGGATTGAAAATCCGAAAGGGCGATCTAGACAAAAGTTATTGATCTTATTCAAAAAATGAACAAATAGATTGCAGTTCGAGAATTCACTACTACGACTATGACTAAGGCGAAGAATTGATCTAAATCAGCTTACTTCGAAGCAAAGGAGATTGGAGTTATCAAAGGATGTTGGAGAAATAGCAGTATCAATTATCATTTTCATTGTTATTTTCAATTTGGTTAAAACTTTTGTAATTACCTCTTTTTAGGAATTTGATTTTGTACTTTCGCCTATTCAAAGGAATTTTCATTAATAATACAGTTCATTTTTCAATCTTTTCAAAATATAGTTCAATTGTGTTTTTCTTTTTTCGACTTGTTTATAAAATACTACGATTATTTTTTGTAAACACTACATCAAAATTATTCAGAGGATTTGACACAAAAATAAAAACACTTGACAAAGCATCAAAAAGTAATTTGGTTTGAAAAACGTCAAAAGAAGTCTGCGCCTACGCCCACGCCTACGCTTACGCATATGATATAATTATCAATAACACATTGACACTGTTCACGATAGTCTATCAAATACGAATCAACTTGGAGATACCACAACCAGCATCAGACAACTTTGAGAAATCGATGACTTAGAAAACCCAATGGTTTAAAAGGAGAAAATATCAAAAATATTTAAAAAACACTTGGTACATGTACATATAAAACATTGAGTGCATATACAACACTTGAATATCATGTCAATAACGTCATTAGATATCATATCATTAGATGTCATTATATATATATTGCATTTCCAAACTTCTTTGGCCAGGAATACTGTGAAATATCTCGGGGCCTATTACAAGCTAGCCTATCTATGCGAATCAAAACTTCGAAAACCTTAGCATTGTTCAACAAATACCTCAGTTGATAACAGAAACAACTGGTAGATTAGGGCTTCACTAAGTAGTGTGAAGTCAAGATTCTTCAACATTATGTTTTGATGAAGACAACTACTATGTACATTTATCAAAGGATGAGAAAAAGCATCATGAAGTAATATGGCTATAGATCAAGATTTCAATATTATGAAGACTTGAATTGATCTTAATTTATTGAGGTATAAGCATGTAATATATATTGATAAAATAGTGCTCAAAATAATCTCCAAAGTTCACTTGCATGCATGGTTCATTTGGTTGAAAATATCTCACTATTTCTAGCTTTAAAACAAAATCTTTTTATCATACATTTGAAATTTTATTTTTCATATTTGAACCATGTTAAATCACTTTCAAATGTAATCTATTGACTTTCATAAATAAATAGATGTTGCATATGGTTGGTTCAAAAATTTATATAATTCTTTAATGTTTTAAGTTTTTTAAACATTCAGTTTCTGGTGAATTAAGGCGTTTTCAACCGCCTTAAAAGTACAAAAACCGCCTGAATTCATAACGTTGTGAAGTAGTATTTTATTTTTTGAAATTCAAAAATAACGTTCTGTATTTGTTAAGTCAAGTATCTGTTAAAACTGACTTAATAAGTATTGTACGAATTTGAAAAAATAATATTTTATTTAACACTTTTTCATGCATTTTTTTATGAAACTATTTCATTTTA